GACATTGAGATGCAATCCATATCAAAGACTGTGCTCTTTAATCTTCATAAGTAAATGTTTCAAGTCCTCTTCACTTTCAGCAAGCAAGGTTGTATCATCTGCATATCGCAGGTTGTTAATGAGTCTTCCTCCAATCCTGATGCCACGTTTTTCTTCATAGAACACAGCTTCTCGTATTATTTGCTCAGCATACAGGTTGAATAAGTATGGTGAAAGAATACAACCCTGTCTCACACCTTTCCCAATTTTAAAACATTCAGTGTTCCCTTATTCTGTTTGAACAACTGCTTCTTGGTCTAGGTACAGATTTCTTAGAAGTACAATTAAGTGTTCTGGAATACTCATACTTCTCAATGTTGTCCATAGCTTGTCATGATCCACACAATCGAAAGCCTTTGCGTAGTCAATAAAGCACAGGTAAACATCCTTCTGATATTCTCTGCTTTCAGCCAAGATCCATCGGACATCAGCAATGATATCTCTCGTTCCACGGCCTCCTCTGAATCCAGCTTGAACCTCTGGAAGTTCTCTGTCAATGTATGATTGTAGCCATTTCTGTATTATCTTTAGCAAAACCTTGCTCGCTTGAGATATCAAAGAGATTGTCCGATGATTTCCGCATTCCGTTGGGTCACCTCTCTTTGGAATGGGCACAAACATTGATCTCTTCCAATCAGTCGGCCAGACAGTTGTCTTCCAAATTTCTTGGCAGAGATGAGTGAGTGCTTCCTGTGCTGCCTCACTTTCCTGAAAGATTTCAATTTTTATTCCATCAATTCCTGGTGCCTTGTTCTTTGCCACTTCTTTCAATGCACTTTGGACTTCCTCTCTGAGTATCATTGGCTCTTGTTCATATGGTATCTCTTGAAATGGTTGAACATTAACCATTACCAGCTAGTGGATCAGAAAGCGATTGTTGTTGTTATTAGGTGCCATCAAGTCAATATCGACTCACAGCAACCTCATGCACAGCAGAACGAAACACTGCCCGATCCTGGGCCAACCTCACTACTGTTACCTCACTTGAGCACATTGATGCTGCCACTTGGCCAATCCATCTCACTGGGACCTTCCTCTTTTTCTTTGTCCCTCTACCTTACCAAACATGATTTTCTTCTTCAGGGAATGGTCCCTTCTGACAATATGTCCAAAATATGAAAGATGAAGTTTGGCCATCCTGGCCTCCAAGGAGCACTCTGGCTGTGCTTCTTCCAACACAGATCTGTTGGTTTTTTTGGCAGTCTATGGCACTTTCAATATTCTCCTCCAGCACATATTAGCTTATCAATTATTGCAACAGAGACCCTTCATTTCTACCTTCTGAGGTCATGAAATGGCTTTTGAAGCTAGAAACAAGAAGTAGTTTAGGTTGTGCCAGGATCTGCATCTTCTCTCTTTAGCTTAGAAAAACATCTCCTATATTCAAATGGCTCCCTCCTTCTCATCTTTTAAGTTTTCACTTAAATGACAATAAGCCACAGAGACTATCAGCCTGGACCACTAACCACAAGGTCAGTAGTATAAATCCACCAGCTGCTCTACGAAAGAAAGATGAAATTTTCTGCTCCTGTAAAGATTTTCAGCCTTGAAAACCTGACACAGGGTCTCTATGAGTTGGCACCAACTCCACAGCACACCACCACCAGAAGGGTATAGGAACGAACAACAACAAATGATAGACACTCCAGGAGAGAAAGCTAGTGAGTGTCTTCAACAAGTCCATGGGTGGTGGTGTGCCAGGGGAGCAATGAGAGCATAAACTGGCAGAAAGCTTAAACTTAATCCTTGCCTTTCTTTGTCTTTGCCTTTCACCTGTGTTGTCTTAGAAAAATCGTGGCAGACACTGGAGATGTCCCTGAAGCTTTGGTGCCAGCTCAAAGTCCAGCTGGAGTGAGGACTGAATGGAAGCAGCTGTCCTTGGTCACTCGCCACTCTCATTCCAGTCTTCAAATACCCACAGCTAGTGGATTATAGTCAGGGGATGTTAGAGGACTCTCCCAGGCATGCTGCTTTGTGTAAGCTTTCTTTTGGTTTTTTTAAGATTTTTTGTGGATTGAGTGACAGTTTACAGGGAAGATCATCAGTTTTACATTCAACAAATCATACACCTTCTTTCATTACAATGATTATAATCCCTCCCATGTACCAGCAGTTAACAATATTTCTCTGTATTCACTTTAGCTCTTTTTTTCTTTAAACACTCAGGCATATATAATGATTTACACCACCAAAGGGCACATTCTGCAAGCCTGCCTCCTGGCCACCAGCTCTCAGTCCCTCTTTTTCCATGAGTCTAGAGTCCTCAGCTGTGCCCCCTCTCCATGACCCCATCTCTGCCTCCATCTCTGGTGTCGCTGCTTCTCTGGATAAAGTCCCGCATTCTGCTTGTGCTTTTCTCCCTTCATGGTACGAGGGTCCTCTCTTTCTGTACTGTAAGATGAACTACTCCCCTGTTTTGGTTTTGTGTAAGCTTTTAACCATAAAAATCAAATCAAAGGATTTTTCTGAGAAAGCCTTAATAAGATTTGTCATCTTATCTATTGCCTTCTTAAATTCAGTTATATAGAGAGGCAAGAGTTGTTCTTGACTCTTCCCCAGTTAAAGTTATAGTAATAAAGGCAGTATGGTCCTGGGAAATGAACATACATATGTACCAAAGGAAGACAACTGAGGACTATGACACAAATCCAACTTTGCGTGCAAACAACACTTAATACAGATGAAACTATGAACCAATAAGGAGACAGAAGTTGGTTATGCACGGTGTTGAGAAATCTGGCCCATGATAAAAAGAAAAATAAAACTAAGTCCTTTCTAATATACTATACAGTGGTGGACTGATGGTGGATTCAATAACAAAATATAAATGGTAAAATTATAAAATTAATAGAAAATTATATGGATGAAATGTGTGTGTGATAGGAGCAGGAAAGAACTTTGTAAATAAAACTGTACTGTGTAAGTATAAATTAGAAAACGGAACACTGAACAGTTGATTACTTCACAAGAAAGCATTTATTTTCAATAAAGACCATCAAAGCAAAAGTTAATAAATAGATAACAGGGTATAAAGAGACATCTGCATATCTGAAATTACCCAGGGGGCCTTATCCAATCCTATACAGGGTAGCTATGAGTCAGAACTGACTCAACAGCACTTAACTAACAATAAAATAAATCCCTGGGTGCTACAATTGTACATTCAGATCTATACAGTTTCTAAGGAGTGTATGGTGAGTTTGAACTGCTGACTTTGCAATTCTAACCAACCTTGTGGTCCAGTGTTTATCCTACAGTGCCAAACCAGGACTCATTACATGAGTAATAAACTTTTTCATACTCTTTAAAAAAGTAGTGCTTCATTAAAAATGTAGAATGTAGCATAATCTATAAATAATAACAGGCCAGTACAGTAAATGATATATACGTATTAGAGAATACTATACACTTCATAAAAAACACATAGAAAATCCACATCAAACATATTCAACTCCTGAGAGAGATTGTTTCAGCGGAAAGAAGATGAAGTGTGGGGAGATGGGGAAACAAATAAATAAATGTTAACAATGATGTTGAAAACCAACTTTAGCATTTTCTTATACTGTAAGCAAGCTAAGGAAGCTCTCTTATCATACTTTAAAATCAATGCTTAACAAAGGTCAGTTGTTTCTTGATTTATTAGAACTCCTACTGATGAATTCCTCTAGGGCTATTTAATGAACTTCTCCACATAGAATGAAATGCTGGCGTTTGAAGTTACCTTTAGTCTAGGTTTTACAAAAGTGTCTTTCATGAAACATTAATCCCACAAAATCTACTAAGAGGTAAGGACTCTAGTTAAATGCCATCGAGGCGGTTCTAGCTATATTGACCCTTTATAGGGTTTCCAAGGAGTGACTGGTGAGTTTGAACCACTGATCTTGTGATTCAAAGTGACCTTCCAGTTCAGTGCTTTATCCCACAGCACCACACCAGGACTCCAAAGGTGATTTAAACAACATATTAGATCATCAGAATCAAGTGAATTTATGAAATGTCTCTTGTTTTTTTAAGTTTTTATTGTGATTTGAGTGAAAGCTTACAGGGCAGCTCATTGATTTTATATTCAACAAATCATATACTTTGTTTCATTACAATGATTATAATCCCCTCCATATACCATCAGTTAAAAGTATTTCTCTCTATTCACTTTAGCTCTTTTTTTTTTTTTTTTTTTTTTTTTTTAAACACGAGACGTGGTATGAAAGAGAAACTTGCTTAGCTTTGTTTAACATCGGGTTTTCCACTCTTATTGATCAAATAAGAATTTTTCCCATAATAGCTATTAACATTCCCCAATTGCTTGGGGAAATATCTCTATTTTGCATGATGGGATGAAAATAAGAACTCAGTTCTCCAAGTCCATTCTGGGGGCTTGATGTCATCTTATAGCTGTTCCTCTGTACTCATCAGCTGCCACTGAGGAAGGAGGTTTGGTTTGTTGGGTGTTGGTGTGGCGCTATAGGATAAGCACTGGACTGCTAACTTCAAGGTCAACGATTCAAACCCACCACCCACTTCTCAGAAACTCAATACAGGGGCTAGGAATCCAACCAGCTCTTCAGCATTTAAACTAGGCATAGAAAAGCACATCTCTCCAAAGTCACGAATGCCCTTTAGTGAATATTCTTTGAGTATTTAGCCAGTATTTTTTTTTTCCAGCCAGTACGAGCTAGTCCAATGCAAACTCAAATCTCAGATAAGCTTAGACTGACAAAAACACAGTTGCAATTTGGTCTTTACACCCTGGCCACCACCCTACTCTTGTGTCTAAACAAAAGGACCTGGGACTTCAGCACAGCCCTGTGGGAAATGTCAGCCTTCTCTGTATGAAAAGTGACAATTTCATTTGTACAGTTAAGGTCTCTCCCATCCTTTCCTTCTATTGTTTTCAACTTCTCTCCTGCACACATGGGGAAGTAATCCAGGCTGACCCCAGCAAAGTGTAGAGTGTCCCCTACCTTCTACTTGATAAGCTGAGGTGGCCACCCCCCAGCCAAATCCTGCAGGAAAAGCCATGATCTCAGACGACGACCAGCCGAACACTGGGCAAAATGGAATTCTGTGCCTTTTAGTTTCAGGAGCCCAGTAACTATACAAACTGCTAAGTGAACTTTCACCCAAGACACAATCCCAGAATGCATATGTGCATGCAAGTAAGAAGGAAAACCAGATTAAAGGTCCCCACTTGGCTGGCCACAACCTTGATAAGAATCCAAGACACTTTGTACCCAGCAAACAATTATACTTTCTTCTCTGAATTTTCCCTGATTCCTTAAAGAACTGGAGCAGTGTGGGGGCTAGCTAAGTCCCTGCTTTGGCTGGGAACCCATTCACCCCATCTTTTCCTTTTAAATTCAACATATGGACATGATTTTTAAAAATCTGATCATCCAGCTAGAATTTTCCCTCTATTCATTCCTCATTCTAAAGTCTTCTCCCTGGTGGTGGTGATTTGTACCCTGGAGTCGGTTTAATCTCACAGTTGTTGTTGTTGTTAAGTGCCACCGAGTCGGTTCCGACCCATAGCGACCCTGTACAGGGTTTCCGAGGGTGTAAATCTTTACGGGAGCAGAACGCCTCATCTTTCTCCCGCGGAGCAGCTGGTAGTCTCGAACCGCTGACTTTAAGGTTCGCAGCCCGATTCGTAACCACTACGCTACACCCTGTATATATAGTTTCCAAGGCTGTACATATTTAAGGGAGCAGAAAGCCTCATCTTTATCCCACGCATCGACTGGTAGATTAGAACTGCAGGCCTTGAAGTTAGCAGCCCAGTTTGTAATCCACCAGGCTACCAAGGATCCTTAAAATCTCTAGGTAAACAGTTTCAACGGTTTCTTCCGTTATTTATTGCCATGTTTCTAAAATTATAGGTTGATTCTGCTGCTTCTGGACTCTTGGTGTGGAGATGTAGGATAAGCACTTGACTGCTAGCTTCCAAGTCAACAGTTCAAACCCCCAGCCACTCCTAGGAAACATAGTACAGGGTTGTTGTGAATTGGAACTTACTCAAGGAGCTCTGGTAGCGTAGTGGTTACGAATCGGGCTGCGAACCTTAAGGTCAGCGGTTCGAAACTAGCAGCTGCACCGCGGGAGAAAGATGAGGCTTTCTACTCCCGTAAAGATTTACACCCTCGGAAACCCTATACAGGGTCGCTATGGGTCAGAACCGACTCGATGGCACATAACAACAACAACAACAATGACCTATAACCACAATAACTCTTGGTTCTTGTTTTTTTGTTTTTTCCATTGTAGATAATACCTTTTGACTTTTGGATAGAGAGGTGGACTGTGAGCTATTTAAATGCAGATTAGAATGTGGTATGTTAAAAATGGGGGCTTGGTGATGGCAGACTTCCATAGAGGCAAAGGATGGGAATCTTGCCATTCTGTTATACTTACCGATTGTCCTAGAGCCGATTCTGAGTCCTAACTCCTTCCAGTGGAATATGGCTTCTTTTTCCCTGTTGTTAAGTGCTGTCAAGTTGGTGCTAACCCATAGCAACCCTGTGTAGGGTTTCCAAGGAGCAGCTGGTGACCTTGAACTGGCAACCTTGAGGTTTAAGGCAACCTTGCAGTCCAGCGCATTAACACACAGCACCACAAGTATCGAGTTAAGGACCTGCTTTTGACCCTTGTCAAGGGTCATTGAGTTTCTACATGGCAAATGGTTAATCCACTCAGTTGCTAATCCAAATAGCGGTTTTTTCAATCCACCCAGCTGTACCTCAAAAGAAAGGCTTGATGAACTACTTACAAAATATCACTCTGCCCCCAATGGAAATCCTATGGAGCACAGTTTTACCCTGACACACATGAAGTCACTGTTCTGATTGGATTGCTGGGGGGTGGGGGGCAATATTTCCCTGATTTTATTCGGGCTGGTCAGTTTCCACTAAAAGGAATCCTGCAAGCTCCTGACTGGGAGAACGCATGCCTATATTCTCTCTCCAAGCCGTGGAAGGAGCTCAAGCAATGCTCCACTGCCATCTGTGCGGGGTGTCCTTGAGTGCCTGCCTGTCCGATTTAATTTCCCCAGGGACTCTTTCTGCTTTCCTGCCTGGGCTAAGGATCTGGGGGACGGTGGGGAGATAGGATGATGAATTGCTACTTTTAACCAAACCATTTTTCACTCAAATCCCCAAAATGCAAATAATTAACACGCTCGGAGCTCTGGTAATGTAGTGGTTATAAATCGGGCTGCGAACTGCAAGGTCAGCAGTTTGAAACTATGGGAGAAAGATGAGGCTTTCTGCTCCCGTAAAGATTTACAGCCTCGGAAACCCTGTACAGGGTCGCTAAGGGTCTGAGCTGACTCCACGGCACATAACAATAACAACTGCTAACCAAAAGACTGGCGATTCGAGTCCATCCCAAGGTGATTTGTAAGAAAAGTTTACTTTCAAAAACTCAGCCATTGGAAACTCTATGGAGCATAGTTGTATGACACACATGGGTAGCTAGCAGTTGGAATCAACTCAACGGCAGTTGGTTTATTTTTCAACCCAAACTACTTTTATTTTATTTTATTTTATTTGTTTATTTTAAGGTTTTTATTGTGGATTGAGTGAAAGTTTTCAGGGCACATCATCAGTTTCACATTCAACCATTCATATGCCTTGTTTCATTACATTGATTATAATCCCCTCCATACCTCCTTACATCATCAGTTAACAGTGTTTCTCTCTATCCTCTTTAGCTTTTTTTTTTTTGGGGGGGAGGGGTGGGTGGGAAACTTTGCCTTTTTGGCATTTACAGTCTCTGCTTTTAGGGAAGGTCAAACTACTTTTTTAAATAACATTACTGGCCACACACACCTTCACAACCTTGCCCCTGCCTTCTGTCAAATACACCTGACATAGCTCCAACTAGAGAGGTGTTTTGTGTGTTCAGGTTTTTGCAGTACAACTCTACTTCTGACTTCTTCATCCAAAGGCTTAAATTTCAACTGTCTTCAAACTACTAAATTGATTACAATTTAACAATCTGGTTCCTAGTTTTCAAAACTCCTGGCATGTCACCCCCACACTCACTGTTGTTGTCTTTGTAGGTTTATTATATTTTTGCTGTCAATTTAGTTTGGATTTAGAAGGAAAATGGGATAAGTACGTGTATTCGACACACCATTTTTAACGAAAAGCCATTCAAAATCATTTTAACTCACAGACTTTGCCATAGACCTACGAAGACCCAAGGAATATTTCAATGAATCTGTCTCCCTCATTATTTAAATAACCAAGGTCCAGGAGAAGTCTCATCTTACCCTGATACCTCAGAGAAAGCTAATGGCAGAATCAATGAGTCCTAACTTTGATCACAATTATCTATCTGTGGCTGTTCTCTGAAATACTACAATTCATTGAGAGAGGCACTCATGGTTTAGTGGCAACATTATTGCCTTCCATGAATAGAATCCAGGTTCCATTCCGGCCAATTCACTTTATACATAGTCACAACCCATTTTTCAGTGGAGGTTTGCGTGTTGCTGTAATGAGCAACAGGTTATAGAGCTCCTAGAAAGGCCTAATCTGCTAATGAAGGTTGATAGCTCTGTAGGATAAGCACAGGACTATGAATCACAAGGTCAGCAGATCCACAAGAGAAAAATGAGGTTTTCTATTTCCACAAACATTTTTTTTAAAAATCTTGGGAATCCCAAGATACAGGAACCAGAATGGACTCAAACTCACCTAACAACCCACTAACAAAACTCAGCCTATTAAAACCCAATGGATAGCAACGGCCAATACCTAATTGATGAGGGGGATAGTGTAGGAGGGGGAAGTGTTCCATTTTGTTGTACGTGGGGTCACCATGGCCAGAGGCCAGCGTCATGGCAGTTAACAACAACCACAAAATGCAGGAATATAAATACCTCCTCAGTGCTCTTTGATACAGGCAAAGCAGTATGCCATTGATGTTGTTCCGTACTCTTACTGTAAATATTTTTAAAAGCATTTTCTAATGTTTTCATCTATTTCTCTTGGAAGCACCTGGTGAAGTTTCAGATTACTATCTCATAGGATATCTCATAGAGGAGGATTTGGCAATTGAGCCCATAGTTGATCATTTCCACATAAATTAGAGAATTTGGATTCTTCGCAGGAGAAAAAAAAATTAATTAATTAAGCTGGGTTGAAATGAAGATACCATGGGATATGAGAGACCCCGTTCCATGGGGACCTTTCCAAACACAGGAAACTCCAGTCCAATCATGAGACAAATTTCAGATACACCAGATTTAGGGACATTCAACAAAACACCTTGACCAACACAGTTTAAAAGTGTCTGTGTCATCCAAAACAAGGAGTGGCAGACAGAGGAGACAAAGGACCCATAGCAATGAGAAACAAAGAGCCAACCTATATTGAAACCTAGAACACCAAGGGTCTATTGTTGTTGTTAAGTGCCGTCAAGTTAGTTCCGACCCATAGCGACCCTGTATAGGGTTCCTGAGGAGCAACTGGTAAGCTTGAACC